TTCGCAATTTCTACATGGTTTGCTGCTATACGGTTCCTATAAGGTTTATATATGGTTTATATTCGGTTTTTACTCGGGTACGGTATTTATTAGTTCTTATTTAGTTTCTACTTAGATTTGGTTCCTAGTCGATTCTTATTCGGTTTCTATTTGGGTTTGGTTGCTATTCGGTTTTTATCGGATTTGGTTTCTATTAGGTTCTTATTCGATTCTTGTCAGTTCTCCGCGATGTTACAAAAATTGGGACACGCTATTCACGCTAATATTGGGAATGATGGATTTCATCGTAATACAGGCAATATATCCACGACGTACTTATTGTGGAACTGGTTACAGAGTCTGTATCTGTCGTTGCTAAATGAAGTGGCATTTTACTTTTATTCGGGAGCCAATATGCACCGAGTAGCGTTACTAGACATAAGTATCAATAAAACTTAAGTTGTTTCTAAATAAAAATATATTCAAATAAATATCAAAAATAATTAATTTTCAAATATCATGTGCAATAAAATAAAAATATAAAATCTAGCAAATTAAATCGACGGAGCTGCGATCCGCTGTTAATATCTGCGAAAAATAAATATTGGCTATATTTGGATGGATGAGCCAAAAAACGATATTTGATCAATACCCAAAACCAGGGGACGAGTAATCAATACTTAGTCTAGGTTAGAGGTGATCGATCGATCACTTCCCGATAGGGACAGGAACAGAAGCCTTGATAAATAATTAATACGGCATTACAATATACCTTAAATATATGAGAATATGAATGAGTAGAGTTCACACATCAAAACCCATATGAACATCTTCGGAATCGAGATACCAGCAAAATCAAAAGCGTAGAATTGTAGATATATTAACCAATGATACCATGATAAATTTTAAATTGGTTAAGTAAACAGTTTGCGAGTTTGTATGTTGATGAGTTGATGGCCTTGACAAGGGGGAAGAGGTGCGTTTTCTTTGTTAATCTTGAGAATATTATGTAATTGAATTGGATCTAATTGTAACAAAATGTATCTTTAGGTAATTCGTTAAACTTTTCAACGTGGGAATTGATATGATTAATTATAGAAGCGTTACCTTTGTTTGCTAAAAGAATATACATATTTCAGATATATATATATATATATATATATATATATATATATATATATATATATATATTTATATATATATATATATATATATATATATATATATATATATATATTTATATATATATATATATATATATATATATATATATATATATATATATATAGAAAAAGCGTATAGTAAGACTTACTTTGCCTCTTACACTAATTGAGGTTAGTTGTCTTGATGTTTATTAAATGAAACTGGTAACTCATTTGACCCCTACAACTATGGCGAAAACTATCCAAAAATTGATTTAAAACGTTCTTTAACATACATAAAACACTTAGAACACACATACATAAACATTTAAATAAAATTATGTTAAAATAGTTACAAAACATGTACGTAGTCACAATATAAAATTTTGGTTATAAATATTCTTATCAGAAACAAAAGAATTGCTTGTGAATTCGTTGCTACCAACTTAAAACGACAGAACGTTAGATCTTAAATGATAACGATGTAAAGGTGATAGTATATCTGATAGAAGCTGAACTTATTGAAAAAGAAAAGATGAAAAGACTTATTTTAGAAATAGGAGAGATATTGTATATCTCATATATAATTAAACTTATATTGTTGACGATGAATTGTCTGTATTAGTAGATTCATGTTTATCTAAAGTTAACAATAATGAATATAAGTTGCTTAAATTCTTGGTATCTGTCTTTTTAATAATGGTTTCTTTTTCTTGAAAAATGAAAGCCATCTCGAGAAACAATCTTTTTGAATAATTGCTCTCCGTGGATAGGATTTTTAGATTTGAAAAATCGAAAAGTGTAAAAAAGTGTAACTCTGGAAGATATTGTTACGAACGTGCATTTAACGAGGCACGTATAACGGTTGCATCTCGAAACAGCACCTCATGCTTCCATGCGGCGCGGCGGCATCTCGGAAGCGACTCGATATTTCGAGAAAGATCTGTCACGTTCGCCTAGAGGTGGGAACTTTCTAGAAAATAGTAACTTTAGTATATATATGTAACGATCTTAGGAATAAGTTTAGTTGATAAGAGAATACCGAACTGTAAAGTTATAAATAAATATATTTATATAAATTCGAACCGCTCGTTTTATTTAAAAACAGTACAATATTTCAACTACCACTCTTACCACAAGTCAAGCATGAAAATTAATCTAGTAAAACAAATGACCACAAGAGTTTGTAAACTAGCTGACCCTATTTTTAGAAAGAAGAATCTGAACATCCTTTTACAGTTGTTCCTAGATAATTCTTACCCCGAATCCTTACTTAGGAAAATCATCCTTAACACGTCCTCTGTTATACTCAACACACAAGTAAACCCTTCCCAAAATACAGGTGATATGAAAGTTACCTATGTTTCACACTCACTGGCTAGCAATATTCCTAATATATCTTTTGCATCACTTCCATTTATTAAGGACGTCACTCCCAAATTGACCAGAATTTTTGCTCAATACCTACCAAATATAAAAATTGCTTATAAAAGCACTCTAGTTGTGGGATCTCTGTACAAGTCATTGAAAGATAAAGTACGAAACTTAGATAAAAGTGATGTGGTCTACAAACTTAACTGTTTAGGTTGTGAAGGTTCTTATATAGGTCACACCTCCCAAACAGTTTCCAGCCGTTTAACTCTTCACAAGAGTAACATTAGGTTACACCCTGATAGATGTTCCCTAGCCACACATGTCAACACAACAGGACACTCTTTCGATTTTTCAAATGTAAAAATCCTATCCACGGAGAGCAATTATTCAAAAAGATTGTTTCTCGAGATGTTTCTCGAGAGATACCAAGAATTTAAGCAACTTATATTCATTATTGGTAACTTTAGATAAACATGAATCTACTAATACGGACCATTCATCGTCAACAATATAAGTTTAATTATATATGAGATATACAATATCTCTCCTATTTCTAAAATAAGTCTTTTCATCTTTTCTTTTTCAATAAGTTCAGCTTCTATCAGATATACTATCACCTTTACATCGTTATCATTTAAGATCTAACGTTCTGTCGTTTTAAGTTGGTAGCAACGAATTCACAAGCAATTCTTTTGTTTCTGATAAGAATATTTATAACCAAAATTTTATATTGTGACTACGTACATGTTTTGTAACTATTTTAACATAATTTTATTTAAATGTTGATGTATGTGTGTTCTAAGTGTTTTATGTATGTTAAAGAATGTTTTAAATCAATTTTTGGATAGTTTTCGCCATAGTTCTAGTGGTCAAATGAGTTACCAGTTTCATTTAATAAACATCAAGACAACTAACCTCAATTAGTGTAAGAGGCAAAGTAAGTCTTACTCTGTAATTTATACTAATTCTGTTTATTGTAGCACCCTGATGATGCAAATAAAGATTTGCGAAAGCTTGGTTAACTAAAAAGAGTACTTCTTGGTCCCATCTTCCGCTGCACACCCAAATATTGGAGTATTATATATATATATATATATATATATATATATATATATATATATATATATATATATATATATCAGTGATTTTTTGAGTTATTTAGTAAATAACTCAAAGAAGTAAATAGCTTTGTCATTAGAAAAAATTCCTCTTCTTATATAAATAAAAGCAGTAATACTTTTATTTTTGATAACAAAAAATTAAAATTTGTTTTTATATGTACCATTGCTAAATAACTTTTTTTTTCTTTACTTCTTTTTCAAGTGCCATCTCCTCTAAGAAGGTTGGCAACCATCATGGCAATTCGCACTTTCGACGCCGCTGCTCTAACGAGGTCAGCACAAGTGCCGTTAAACCAAGCTCTCAAATTATTCAACTAGGAGATGCGTCTTCTTCCGCGACTTCTTCTACCCAGTATTCTTCCTTGCATTATTAATTGCAACAAGTTATAACGCTCGCCCCTCATAACATGTCCCAGATATTACAGTTTTCCGACTTTAACTTTATTTAAGACCTCTTTATCTTTTCCCATTCTTCTTAACACCTCGATATTTGTGACTATCTACCCAACTTATTCTTAATATCCTTCTGTAGGTCCATAACTCGAAGGCTTCTTTGATCAAATTGATTTGAAGAGATACAAATTTAACAATGCACAATCATTAGCACTAATAATGTTGAAAAGTTAGGAATGAAGTGTAAAGAGTTTGGAGGAGTTTTGGGATTGCCAATGTAATGATTTTATATTATGTTATTTACATTAGCTTGAAATTAGGTACCAGGTTACTATCAAGACGTCTAAAGTAACAGCAAACCCATCAAATGTGTCAACAGTCAATGCCTAATCTTAGAGGTTGGCTAATTTCTAATAAATATAATAAACTTTTAAACTAAAATATAACTAAAAATAAAAAATATAAACTTTTTTTAAATTGAAATTATTAAAAAGGATTAAAGTTCAGAATGTTTTCGATCCTATCAGATCATCATCAGTGAAAAATGTTTATAAAGTAATTGGAACTGGCCACATAGCAAAGTCTAATAATCCTTAGATTGCATATTGCAAATCTTAAATTTTAAAATTAATTTACACGCAGTTCGATGTATAATATTTTACTTAAAGTGAAAGCGGCATATTTCTAACCAGTCGAGATAACATAAAATAAAGTTTAAGTCTGCCCGACTCAATAAAAACTATAGAACTTTAAAATCAACTGATATTTTCAATAAAAATGCGCTTTTGATTTGAGTGGTTAATTTATTTTTACAACCTTAATATTGCGTTAGTATTATAAATACTAATTTGTATACAAATTTTTTCACTGATAAAATATCTTTTGTGATTGACATGATCTAGTTATATTAACGCAATATTGGCCTCACAGTAATCAATACTAATAAAAATGTGAACTTTGTAAGCTACTATTATATTATTTAAATAATTACCTTGGTTTGTAGATCGGTGTCAAATTATATCTTATTCTATAAACCAACTTATAGCTTTAAATGTATCTTTTGCACGACTGTTTTAAAACAAACACATTTATTTATCAGTTTTCTCAATTAAAATAACATATCTTGCGTTATCAGCAGTGAATTATTGCTATTCACTTTTTTATCGCCACTCTTTCCATATGTAAATCATTGTGAGGTATAATGATTGCAATTTTTACCCATTTTATTAGTAAGCAATGGTTTTTATCTTAAAATCAAATCAATTAGGTGCTTTAACTACAGCCTAGAATTGTAAGTGCGGAATAATTAATGTAATATTTTACACAAAAAATAAAATAAATATATTGTTCTAAAGCTCTTTTATTATGGCAATTTAAAGTACATAATGACTATTTTATTGGGAATAAACTACAATTAAAGGTTAAAATTATTTATATTGACAGTTCAGACATACATTTCGACTTTAAAATAAAATTGTCAATATTGCTAAGTTGCGTTCCTGGGACGACTTGTAAGTTCCTTGTAAGACAGTTCATTCGATTACATGAAATCAACTTTAACTTGAGAATATCCGTCACAAAAAAAATCATAGCATGTATTTCGTCTTTAAAAAGACAACCACATGTCCTTGTTATTGATTCCATCGTAAATTATGAGAAAAAACCTCATAATACCATCCCAACAGGGTAAGTATTTGGTCTTACATTTAATTTACTCTCAATAAACACCAAATTTTAATTTTATATGTATGTTATTTAACAAAAAAAAAGTATAATATTATTATGGATATGTTACTGACTTACTGATACTGGTATTTTCGTTTTATTAACTTCCTTTTTTAATATGGGTAACCAGATCCTACTGCATTCTTTTAAGGACTTTGTTACACAGTTGGTCTTATTTAGCAAAATTAGGGCCGCTTATTTTATTTTTCTCTTTTTACCATCCGTTTCTTTTAGGACTATACTTTAATCATTATATTGAACCCTATATTCATTATACCATGCATGTTTACATATTTGAAATCTATCAAATTCTTTATTTTTAATAAAATATTGATGTTTACTTATTCTAATATTTAATGACGTTGATGTTTGACCTAAATAAAGCTGATCGTATTGACAAGGTATTTTTTAAATTTGAAAATTTTGAATGTTGTTGAAATGTTAAATTTATTTTCTATCCTTTTAAGTTTTTGATATTCCTTTTATGTATGGTCACAGAATAATAAACAATCAGAATGTCCACTCTCAGATGCCGCCTTTGAAGTTTTTCAGCACGCGCGCCATGTTTTAGAAGGAAACACATAACACAGACATATGATTTGTGAGGTTATGTGATTGTTTATATTTATGTTTAATTATATTATATTTATGTTATTATATTTAGCAATGTTAATATAATTGTATAGTATGTCTATGATTGCCGTACGTCAATTAAACCGGGTTAATTTTTCTATGTACACCACATAAACAACACTGGTTCCCTCTAAAACATGGCGGAACGTCTGCGCGAAGAAGATGCGCGTACTTAATTTTCCATGGAGAGTGAGTATTCTGATTGTTTATTATTCTGTGGTATGGTATTATTATCTTTCTCGTATTATGTCTTGTGTATGCTGTAGGATCTCGTTCTAAGTTGTTCTGTTCTATTCAGTCGATTGCTGAAAATTCCCTATTTGTAAACGATAAAGGATAATAATTTTTTAATAAAACAGACGTTAACAAATGTTTTTCTTCCTAAAGCGATTTTTCGTTAGAATAAACAGTTTTGGCTCTATGGTATAAGGATTTAATGATTGCCTTTTTAATATCAAATTGTGATTTGATTTAAAATTTAAATATCTGTTGGTGTGTGTTGGTTTTCTATATACCTGAGTCTCATATCCAGTATCGCTCTTAGAGATTAAAATATCCAGGAAAGCTAGTCTGTTATTATATTCCTTTTCCATGGTAAATGTAGGAATGTGTCCAACAACTCTGATCCATGAGGCCGTATTGAGAATATATCCTCTACATATCTTCACCATACTGTAGGTTTTAAATTTTGTTTAGAAATGATATTTGTTTCAAAATTTTCATTATGTTAATAACTTTATTATAGCTGATATGTTTAGTCTTATTCTAGTTGCCAATGTATCATTACTCTCTAATTTTGTCTTGACTATATTTAAAGGCTTATCTAATGGCACATTTGTAAATAAACTATTTATGTCAAAATTTACCAAAGTAATATTTGAATTAATTTCAATATTTGATAATTTATTTAAAAAATATTGTGTATTTTTTATAAATGTGTCATTTTTATTTGCAAATGGTTTTAAAATATTTAATAAAAAATTTGATAGTTCACTACAAGGAGAATTCATGGTACTACAAATGGGTATAAGTGGTATATTCGGCTTATGAACTTTCGGTACTCCATAAAAGTGAGGGGTCTTACTGTAATGAGGTGTAATTAATCCTCTCTGATAGGTTGTTAAACAATCTCTAAACTTGAATAAAGTTCTATATAATATTCTGTTTTCCAAATGCTTTGTTAGATCCCTCGTTAATTTTGTATATGGTCCTATATGGTAGTATTACTATTGTGATTTGGTTTAAAATTTAAATATCTGCTGGTGTGTGTTGGTTTTCTGTACACCTGAATCTCATATCTAGTATCGTTCTTAGAGATTAAAACATCTAGTTAAAAGTGTGTTATTATATTCCTCTTCCATGGTAAATGTTATTGTCTCTTTTATCCTTTATATCATTCAGGAATGTGTCCAACAACTCTGATCCATGTGGCCATATTGAGAGTACATCATCTACTATCTCCACCATACTGTATGTTTTAAATTTTCTCCCATAAATATATCGGTTAACATTGGAGATAAACTAGAGCCCATTTCTAGACCAAAATTGTGTTTAAAAAATTCATTATATGTATAGTTGAAAATATGTACTATCAGTACATAATGTCAATAACTGCAATATACCTCATATGTTTAGTCTTGTTCTAGTTGCCAATGTATCATCACTCTCTAATTGTTTCTTGACTAATTGTATATTAGTAAATTAACTATTCATGTCAAAACTTTCTAAAATGATATTTGAATTAAATTTAATATTTGATAAGTTATTTAAAATATATTGTGTATTTTTTATAAATGTGCCATATTTATTTGCAAGTGATTGTATAGTTTTTAATAAAAGTTTTGACAATTTACTACAAGGAGAAATCATGGTACTACAAATAGGTCTACGTGGTATATTCGTTTTATGAATTTTCGGTATTTCATAAAAATGAGGGTTCTTACTGTAATGAGGTGTAATTGATGCTCTTTGGTAATTTGTTAAATATTCTTTAAACTTAAATAAAGTTCTATATATTCTGTTTTCTAAAGGCTTTTTTGGATTCTTTGTTAATTTTGTATTAGGTCCGTTTGTTATATGATCTTTAATTTTGTTTTTATATTGAATTTTATTCATTAATGCCGTTGAATTCGTCTTGTCTGTTGGTAGAATGATTATGGAATTCTTATATATTAAGTTCCTATTTGCTTATGTTTTATTTAATTTTAATAGATTTTATTCTAGCATATTCTCAAGTTAAAGTTGATTTCATGTAATCAAATGAACTATCTTAAAATAAAGTCGTCCCAGGAACGCAACTCAGCAATATTGGCAATATTATTACAAAGTCGTCTACTTTAAAATGTATAATATATGTCCGAATTATTATCAATATAAATGAGCCAGATAAAATTAAGCTATCTGGCTCAGGATAAGTAAAAATTAAGTAAGAATTTTTTACCAAGTAAAAAAACAAAATTTTTTTAATTTAATATTGTTTGAATTTTTTATTTTAACCTTCAATGGTGGTTTATTCGCAATAAAATAGTTATTCACATAAATGTATTTGAAAAACCAAAAAGAATCTTCACCAAAGTAAAAAAAGCTGCTAAAGTTGTATCACTGAATTTATTAGCAAAAAATTAATAATAAAATTGTACATGGTGGCTGATGGAGCTCTCTTAAATTGGAGAAACGAAAAACTTAATCGTTCTCAGAATCTGTCATCCATCACCCTCTGGCTTGGCACCGCCCTGTACACACAAACTCCCACTATCTTTTATCACCATCGATGCTCGCTGGAGATGGAACACTGGCAATGTTATAAAACAACGGCCGCCGCAAGAGAGATGCAAGCGAGTTCCGCCAGAGTACTTATCTGGTGGGTCTTCGGAGATTGACCAACGTCCAAACCGTCTTAGAAGTTATATCAGAGTGTTGATCTGGAACAAACTTCTGTGGTCCTAGGGTAGTTCTTCTTCTTCAGGTGCCATCTCCGCTACGGAGGTTGGCAATCATCATAGCTATCTTAATTTTTGAGGCAGTAGCTCTAAATAGTTGTTTTGAGCTGCATCCAAACCATTCTCTCAGGTTCTTCAGCCATGAAATTCGTCTTCTTCCGATGCTTCTTCTGCCATCTATTTTTCCTTGCATTATGAGTCGCAGGATGCCATACTTATCGCCCCGCATCACATGTCCGAGATACTGTAGCTTTCTTTCTTTAATTGTAAGTTCAATTTCCTTCTCTTTGCCTATTCTTCTCAGTATTTCATTGTTTGTAACTCTATCTACCCAGGAAGGGTAGTTAGTGAAGTCCAAATGCTTTTGCTAGAATATTAATTTAGTAGCAGCACCCAATCCCAGTCTAAGAGTATTGATATAAGACCAAACCGTATCGTTTTTAAGTATTGATTAGTCACTTTCTGCTCCTTGCTGGATTTTCCTACTCGGCGTGTGTAAGTATATTAACTAACGCATCATATTTTCGTTTCCATTTTAATACAATGAACCATATCTATTTTTTGCCGGTATTAACAGTGGATCGTAGTGTCGTCGATATCTTCTCCAGGATTAATATTTTGTTATTTATTTATTTATAATATAAATTTATTTAAATTAAACTTGTGTTTACTTGGTCTACTCTAACAGAGCTACTCATTACACATTATTAAACCAAAAATAAAGGTTCTCAACCTAGAAAAGCTAAATATTTCTCTTAAGAATTTTATTACTAGACCATGAG